CCTTTCCAGTGGTGCCTACTGAAAATTCCACTCAGGAAGAGGTGGTTGCTTACAACAAACACAGTGATGACGATAACATTGCAACACGTGTGATGCTTGCAGCTATGTCACCTGAGTTGCAGAAGCAACATGAGGGTATGGATGTTTACACTATGATTTTTCATCTCAAGGAGTTGTACGATGAACAATCTCGTGTGGAGAGGTATGAGACCTCTAAACAACTATATCGGTGCAAAATGGCAGAGGGATCTTCAGTCAGTGCTCATGTGCTGAAGATGATTAGTTTCATTGAAAAACTGGGTTCAATGGGTTTTATCATGGATCATGAACTAAGTATTGACTTGGTTCTGCAATCTCTGTCAGATAGTTATTCACAGTTTATTATGAACTTTAATATGAATAAGATCGAATGCACACTCCCTGCGTTGCTTAATATGCTTAAAACTGTGGAGCTCAATTTCAAGGCTAGCACTAGGCATGTCTTAACTATTCATTCCTCCAACGGCACTAAGAGGAAAATCAAACATCCAAAAAGGCTAAGGACAATAACAAAGCAGTCAAAGCAGGCAAGGACAATACCAAATCTGATGACACATGCTATCACTGTGGAGTGAAAGGTCATTGGAAGAGGAACTGCAAGGCTTATCTCTCTAGCTTGAAGGGAAAGAAGTCTTCTGAAGCTTCTACTTTAGGTATTTTTGTTATCGCGGTTAATATGTCTACTTCATTAGTTCTTGGGTATTAGATACCGGATGTGGATCTCATATTTGTATAAATATATAGGGACTAAAGAGAAGTAGACCACTGCAGAAAAGAGAAGTTGACCTGCGCGTGGGAAATGGAGCAAGAGTTGCTGCATTAGCTGTAGGGACATACTTCTTACCACTGCCTTCGGGCTTAGTATTAGAATTAGAAAATTGCTATTTTGTTCCCGTCATTACTAAAAACATTATTCCTATTTCGTGTTTAGACATGAATGATTTTTCAATTAATGTTAAAAATAATCGTTGTTCGTTTTATAAAGATGAGATCTTTTATGGTTGTGGTGTGTTGCAAAATGGAATTTATATTCTTGATACTGAGTCGTCTATTATGAATATAGAAAATAAAAGGCATAAAAGTGATAATCTAAATAATACATACCTCTGGCATTACAGATTGGATCATATTAACGACAAACGCATTTCCAAGTTATATATAGATGGATACTTGGGGTCAACTGATTTTGAGTCATTTGATAAATACGAGTCGTGCCTGTTAGGCAAAATGACCAAGTTCCCTTTTATTGGAAAAGGAGGAAGAACCACAGAACTGCTGAGACTAATACATACTGATGTATGTGGACCCATGTCAATAACTGCCAGAGGTGGTTTCTCTTACTTCATCACATTCACTGATGATCATTCTAGATATGGTTATGTGTATCTGATGAAATTCAAGCATGAAGTACTTGAAAAGTTCAAGGAATTCAAACTTGAAGTAGAGAAACAAACTGGTAAAAATATACTCACGCTGAGATCAGATCGAGGTGGAGAATATTTAAAGGGAGAATTTTTAGATTATCTTAAAGAGAACGAGATTCTCTCGCAGTGAACTCCGCCATATACACCGCAACATAATGGTGTATCTGAATGGAGGAATCGCACTTTGTTAGACATGGTACGATCTATGATGAGCCATGCAAACATTCCAAAATTATTTTGGGGTCATGTACTAATTGTTGCGTGCTACACATTTAATCGTGTCCCATCTAAATCGGTCGACAAAACTCCATACGAGCTATGAAGAGGGAAAAGACCAAACTTATCTCATATGGAAGTTTTGGGTTGTGACGCTTATGTAAAGCGAAATGAATCAGATAAGCTTGAGGCTAAATCTGACAAATGCGTATTTGTAGGATATCCAAAAGAGACAATTGGATATCAGTTTTATAATCCTGTTGAGAAGAAGGTGTTCATCTCAAGGCATGCCATATTCCTAGAGAAAGAGTTTATTCTAGGAGAGGGTAGTGGGAGCAAACTAGAACTTGAAGAAGTTCAAGAATCCATAGATACTGTTGACTAATTAGGTGAACTTGAGTCTGATCTTACACCTGTTGACGGACAGACTCTTGATCAGGATGTAGAAAACCCTGAGGACACTCCGGCCCAGCATAAATCAAGTAGGATCATTCGACCTCCCAGAAGGTACGAATTCACGATTACTAATCAAGTATTATTAGTCGAGGATGATGAACCTACAAATTACGCAGAAGCAAAGTCAAGTGTTGACTCGAAGAGGTGGTAAGAAGCCATGGAATCCGAAATGAACTCAATGTATGAGAACAAGGTTTGGACCTTGTCGACCTTCCAGGTGGGATAGAACCGATAGGTTGTAAATGGGTTTACAAGAAAAATGTCGATGTGGATGGAAACATCCATACATACAAAGCAAGGCTAGTAGCGAAGGGTTACACACAAAGACAAGGTGTTGACTTTGATGAAACATTTTCGCCTGTAGCCATGCTAAAGTCCATTCGGATTTTACTTGCAATAGTTGCATACCATGATTATGAGATATAGCAAATGGATGTCAAAACTGCTTTCCTTAATGAAAACTTATATGAGGAGGTATACATGACACAACCTGAAGGTTTTGAATCCAAAGGAGCCAACAAAATATGTAAGTTAAATCGATCCATTTATGGATTAAAGCAAGCCTATAGGAGCTGGAATCTTCGTTTTGATGAAACAATCAAAAGGTTCGATTTTATCAAAAATGAAGATGAACCGTGTGTTTACAAGAAGACAAGTGGGAGCGCGGTCGTATTCCTAATATTATATGTCGATGACATATTATTAATGGAAAACGACATCCCAATACTTCAATCGGTAAAATTATGGTTGTTAAAGAATTTCTCCATGAAAGATATGAGAGAAGCAGCGTATATCTTGGGAATCAAGATCTATAGAGATAGATCTAAAAGATTACTAGGTTTATCCCAATCTTCGTACATAGATAAAATATTGAGAAGATTTAATATGGAAGAGTCTAAAAGAGGTTTATGTCCCATGTCGCATGGGATTTACCTCTCAAAAGATATGTGTCCTAAAACACATGATGAAAGGTGTCGCATGGATAAGATTCTTTATGCTTCGACGATAGGATCAATCATGTATGCGATGCTATGTACGAGACCAGATGTTTCATATGCTCTAAGTGTTACGAGCAGGTTTCAAGCAAACCCTCGTGAGAAACACTGGATAGCGGTTAAGAACATTCTTAAGTACTTGAGAAGGACTAAAGATGTGTTCTTGATCTATGGAGGAAATGAACTGAAAATTCATGGGTATACTGATGCCAGCTTTCAAACTGACAAAGATGATAGCAAGTCTCAATCGGGATATATGTTTACTCTCAACAATGGAGCAGTTAGTTGGAAAAGTTCCAAATAGGAGACAACCGCTGATTCAACAACGGAAGCCGAGTACATTGTTGCATCTGAAGTAGCGAAGGAAGCTGTCTAGATCAAGAAGTTTATTAATGAATTTGGAGTCGTTCCTAGCATTGTTTATCCCATACCTTTGTATTGTGATAACAATAGAGCCATCGCGCAAGTGAAGGAACCGAGGTTCATCAACGATCCAAACATGTGCTAAAACGATATCATCTCATCAGGGAGATTATACAAAGAAATGATGTATGATAGAGCGAGTTCCCACATATAACAATATTGCAGATCCACTGACAAAGCTGCTGTCACAACAGAAACATGATCGTCATGTGGACGCTTATGGTATTAGATACATGAGTGATTGGATCTAGTGCAAGTGGGAGTTTGTAAGTGTTATGCCATAAATCCAATCGATTTAGGTGGTAAACACTTTTAATATGTTTAATGCATTTAATTTTGGCGAGATCTATTATTTATTTAAATTAATTTTGTGATAAATAATATTAAATAATAGAATCCGAAGATCCAAATTTAAGTGATTTGTTAATCACAAGGAGTTGTGATTGTGAGATACAAATTACATATAATTGGATCTTGAATAAATTGTGGTCGTAAGTAATAACGAGATACTGATATCGTTAATACAGTTAGACCATCACGTGTGACATTTCTTACTTGTGAATTAAGTAGCTGATCTCACGAGCTAAAGTGTGGTGACACTTAAATGAACTCGTGGATGTTTTGTTATAGAACAAAACATTGGAGACCCGCTAAGAGATTCCATATGAATAACTATCCGAGTGTCAGTGGTTAATCTCTAAAGTTCGGTAATGAAATTGGTCCTACAACTTGAGGTCATCATAGTACCTTGTATGAGGACAGTCATACTTTGATGGTGTTGGATGTTGCTCTGTTAAAAGTTGTTAATACGACATCGTTCGGGTATATCAAGAATCATATGAAGGTTGTGAATGACCAATAGAGGATTCGTCACTTTTAGATAGTAAGAGATTGTGATTTGCATTTCGTTCAATTAAGTCGATAACGAAATCCTTGGCCAAGATATACATATAAATCGAGAAGGAGTTTTCGACTCATATTGACTTAATAGTAAAATGAAAGATATGATCGATAATCGAGATTGACACACTTCCATATCTTGTAATTGATCGGATCATATTGACGAAGGGACTATAATTTCATAGTAAACGAACAGTTTTGGTTTTGTCATACCACGTGACATTTCCCGTCACGTGTTGCCCTAATATATTGCTAGATGTCAATTTGAGATGACGAGTGTGAATCTGTGATAAATTAAAAGGGTGTTTAATTTATCAGTTTTGATTAGATCAAAATAATATTTCACGTCATTAGGCATCATGGTTAGGAATCTAATGGGTCACACACAAAAGAGAATTGAAAGATTGCAAATTGCCAATTGATTAATTTAACAATCGTTGGATAAATTAATTAATTGGATTTGTTATTTATATTCTTGAATTAATTGGATTAATTAATTCACGGATCGGTTTTAATTAAATGGATTAATTATACATTGGATCGGACCAGGCCGAGCCCGTTTGGGTTTATATAAATACATGGTTAGGGTTTGAGGTCCATAAGGTTTTCATTATTTTTGCTGCCACAAGAGGAAAAACCTTAGCAGTTGCAATCTATTCTCTGTGTGGATTTCATTGGAGGTTGGACAATTGGACAGCTGTGGGAGGCAGATTCAAGATGCTGGAAAGGAATAACGCGAAGGAATTTGCAAAATCAAGAAAATGTATATTTCTTATCACAGTTCTTATCTAAATACAAAGTTGAATCCTGAATGAGAATTGAAATTTGTTTAATTCCGCTGTACATGTTTAAGTAAATTCCCAACAGATAGCAGTTAATTACAGTGGGTTAGTACTCCTGAAAAGTTGAGGCACGACAATATGGGCCAGGCGTTTGGTGGTAGACTTCGCAGCAGATGATGAAGTTCGATCACATACGATAATGGATAGGATTCAATCTATAAAGAAAGAGCTTACGATGATAAAGTCGAGTAGTGGAAGTGATATCTTGTTGTAGCACACAGTTCAGTTAGCCTCACAAGGTACTGGATTGCAAAATACTATCGGCAGGAGCATATGCAATCCTAAACAATCGAAGAAAAATGGCGCGTCTAAGAAACTTCGAAGGAAAAGCCCATTGGAGACGTACTCAAAGAAAACGAAGGTATGGTCATCCATTTGGCACTTTACTTTAAAAAAATCTAACCCTAATTATCATTTATTTGGGTGTACATGCAAGCGCCATTGGTTCCATGCAAAGGAAAGAGAGCAGCGAGCCATAGTACCATGGCAGAGTTTACACCAAATGTTCATGCATCTCAAGAGCAACAATATTCCACGCCAACAATTCTTGGTAAGTAAATTCATTTTAGAATTGTAGGGCATTGGATGTTTTATTTATGTTGTCAGTTTATGCAGGGGGTGAGGAAAGTTATGCGTTTACACAACACATACCATCATCCACTATGATCCAGCCGGCAACAACAAATGTTATATTAAATTATGATGGTAAGTTCTTATCTAAATATACTCCTTTCAACTTCAATTTTTTATTTGCATGTATTAATATCTATTTCTGAATGTTAGGTAATGTGATTCACAACTGCTATCCCCATGCACCACACATCAAGTGGGCACATGCTTGTGATGGGACGTCAAAAGGTAATATGTAAAGAGTTGATTCACTTTTCCTCAGTTTTATACATCTAAGTACTTTCATGGTAATTTTATTACAAACGATTGGAGAAATTATTTAGGGTGTGTTTGATTGACATGGAAAATATTATCTAGAAAAGAAAATATTTTCCATCTTTTGTGGAAAATAAAAATCACCTCTACCTAAGGAAAATATTTTCCTTAAAAACTAGGAAAATTAGGCATATTTTCAAAAGTTGGAAAATGTTTTCCATGGAAAAAAATAGCAATCAAACACTCAAAGTGAAAATTTGGATGGAAAACTGATATTTTCCATGGAAAATAAATGTAATCAAACACACCCTTAGTGTTGAAATTTTGGGTCCGTCAATCATGACAGAAGCCTTTTAACTTTTATGATGTATACGATTACGTTAAAATGCGGTGTGTGAAATGGATTTCATGTGTCGTAAATGCATTATATTGTGAAAACTATGATTATCTACAAATTCATTAAATTATGTCTTAGTGTGGTGACATAGGTAATGATGGAGAAATCCATTACCACACTCTAAATATGCTTAGCATTGACGTTACAAAGAAATGTCTAGTCCAGAAGGGTGGAGTTCTTTTTTGCTAGAAAACAGCTAAGCATCCTGTACTTATGCTATACATTTGGAGGAAAAGAATAGTATGAGGGAGCTGAGATTTTTCGTTACCATTTGGCTTTGTTTTTCGAAGTATTCACATGTTGCTGCAGATTGGAAGCTCGTCTGAACAATTGCTCGCAATGGAAGCTACCTTGTGAAGTTTTTTGGATTTTTGGTGTTTGAATGCAGTTGTCAATATGTAATTGATTTTTGTATTTTATAGATTAAGACCTGGATGTTAATACATATGATTTCTATTAGCAGTCTTCCTTTCAACCTAAAAAAGACTTCTAAAACCTGTTGGTATACTGTGGGCATCGACATTTTATTGGGCAGTCGAGGAAGAAGTGTCCCTTACTCTTGCACCCGTGTGACATATTCCAGAATTTTTTCCCATCATTCTGAGAATGCAAGCAAATGAAGAATTACGAATGAGCATACCATAAGAAATGAAAATCATAGAATGTTTTTGCTACAAATAACCATACCATACCTTTTTCAGCATCAATTGATTGATAACAATAATTAAAATTTTAAAGATGGAGAAGATAAAAAGTGTAGCAACATATTCAAGCAATCATGTTCCCTATGTAATGGAAAAATTAAGTGATAGGTTGATAAACGAAAGAAATAAAAAATAAAAAAATTGAAATAGACAACCAACATCAGCTACTCCATTCATAATGCCAACAACTAAATACATGAAAGAATTCTCCTCAAATTCCATTCAAAAGCAATTCAAACCGTTAGACATGAAAAACGGATAACATTTTTGCTGTAAATAACCAAAGCATACTCGTTGGAGCTCCAACTGATAGGAGGCTTTCCAAATGGGGTAAAATGAGAAGAGAGAGTGCTTTTGAGAAGTCTTTGACTCTTTGTGGGTATAGTTTTTCATATTTTTTTTTTTTTCAATTTTCCACTTCACAATAGAAAGCAAGCTGTCAAATTCATTGTACAAGTGTTTGGCTTGCTTCTTTGAACCTGTTTTTAAGATTTCAATTTTACATAAAGGGTAATTAGCGCAAATTATCCTTAGTTTTCAAAGTCATTGTGCAAAACGTCATTATCCTTCATTTTTTGACATTTTCACTCTTATTTCACCTTTTATTGTGGAAAATGCCAACTTCATCCAATCCCTCACTAAAAAATGTAAAAGGACAAATAAATTCTTTTATTTAAATAAAACAAAAAGAAAGGAAAGCAGGATTAAAGAACAAATTGCAATTATAATCCCAAACTTTTTAAAAAACTGCAAATGAATCTGAATAAATTATCAAAATGGTAATTACCATAAAACGTATCTATCTTTCAATACTATTGTGCAAAACATCACTACCTTTTATTTTTTTGGAAATTCCATTCTAATTTTCACATTTCATTGCGAAAATTATCATTTTTATCCATTTTTTTTAATTAAAAGTTGTAAAATGAATTTTATTTTTACTTTTTTGAAAAACTTGGGAGTATAGTAACAATTTGTTCTTTATTTTTATTTTATTTAAATAGGAGGGTATATTCATTATTTTACAATTTTTAATTGAAAAAATGGATGAAAATGATGATTTTAACAATGAAGTGTGAAAATAAGAGTGAAATTTCAAAAAATAAAAATGGAAGGGATGTTTTGCACAATAATAGTGAAAGATGTGAATGTTTTATGCTAACCTTTTTAATAATTTATTTGGATTCATCTGCAATTTTTTGAGAAGTTTGAGAATATAATTGCAATTTGTTTATTAATTTTTATTTTTATTTTCTTTTATTTAAATAGCAGGGTATACTTGTTTTTTACATTTTTTTAATTGAAAAATTGGATGAAGATGACATTTTTTAGCAATGAAATGTGAAATTAAGGGTAAAAATGTCAAAAAATAAAAGATATGAATGTTTTACATAATAACAACTTTGAGAAGTAAGAACGTTTTGTACTAATTACCCTTTTTATTATACATTTTTGTCAACTCAATTATTATTATTATAGCGAGAAAAAGTATAAGATTTACCATCTTTAAAATGTATATAATATTTGATGGTACTTTAATATAAAATTGTTCTATTTTACTTAATAATCAAATTTTATGGAATAAAATGTCATAAAATAGTTTCTCAAAATTCAAATCAAATACATTCTTTGCTTCTTCTTTTTTTTTTTCTCTTTCTTTTTTGGATATAGGGGAGAAAAATTATACATTGAACTCATCCTTGTGGATGGAATTGATTTGAGACGCGTTTCTTTTGATAATTTAAAAAAAGGGAAATGTAAATCAAATATTTCATATACTTCGAAAATAGAAAATATAAGTTTTGTTTTGAATAAATTCTTATATTGTGAAACAGATCTTGACCCCGTTTGGTATACATTAATGTAAAAATAAGAATAAAAAATATAGCCGTTACGAGCTCCACATAAAAGATAAAAAGTCAAATATGATGGCTTGATGTGATGAATAACGGTTATATTTTTCATTTTAATAGGCAAATAATGGGAAACAAACATCGGCCTTATATTATCATATCTAACTTCTATTAAAAAAGGAAAGTAGTTGCTACTGTAGAAGGAATAGTAAACTAATCCCAAGTTACTGTACAAGAGAAAAAATGGCGTCATTTTTTTTTTTGTTTAACTTTTCCATTCTCCATTTTCATACGTTATGGCCATGCTTTTTCTAGTATTTGGAGATGCAATATCTACAATAGTGTTGAATCCCATTCTTTCATCCCATCCCGATTTTAACAGCTTCAAAATTATTTCAATTTCAACACGCAACCATCGTTTCCATTTCTCTTTCTCCTACCTACAATATTATGTTTCTCCATTTTTTTTACACAAAAATCGGAGACTACAAGCAACCTCCTTTTCGCACAAAAATCAGAGCCTACACAGCAAACCAGTATTCTTGCGCCTTTGCTTGTGGTTATTGGAGCGACAATAGCCAAAGAAGCAGTCGAACACTGGAGGCGCGGGAACACCGGAGGCACAAAGCAGGATTTCATTTTTATTACTTTTCTGAGGTGCTCTTCCTACAGTTTTGCTTCTTCTTCTTCTTCTTCTTCTTCTTCTTTTTGTTTTTGTTTTTACGAATTTCTCTTGTTTTAACCGTAATCTCTCTCTCTCTCTCTCTCTCTCTCGATGGTAGAAAATCTCTCTCTCTCTCTCTCTCTCGATGGTAGAAAAAATACAAACAATTTGCAAGAATTGAGACATATACCGGTAAGTATACTTCTCACGCCTTCAATTTCTTACTCTTATGTATGTTTCTTTTGGTTTTTAAGCTGTATTGTTTTTCCTTATTTTGTTTTCGATCTTTTAAGAGATCCAACCCAAATCAAAGCAAAAATGTGTTTCCCTATATATGTTTGAGCTTCAGATTTTGTGTAATTTGGTTATAAATTGGGTTTTAGATTGAGTTTGGTTTCATTACATATTATGATCAAAATGTGCTTCAAAAATCGAAAGGGTGATATTTTGAAGCTATGCTCAAATATTCATTTTCGTCTTTTTGTTTATGGTTGTTCCATTTCCTTCAACCTGTATTTTTTCTGTCTGATTTTTTTCTCTCTATCTTTGTTCCAAGTTTAACGAAATCTCCTCAGAAAAGTGGAAATTTTGCCCAGAAATTGGTGATAGGCTCTCAACTTGTAACTCTAATTTTCCCTGACGGTGGCCCCCTTGGTGGGCCTCGCTTGTCATTCGCTAATGGGGTTTGGATAGATCAGAGTCTTAGCTTGAAGCCCAGTTATAAAGAAATTGTGGATAATGTTTACAAGGTAGCTTCTAATCCTGTTGATTTTCAAACTCAGGTTAGTTTAATTTCTATTTTCAATTATAAAACTCACTAATATGTTTATAGTTGATCAAGGTTTGAATGTTTAATTGGTGTCAAGAGGTGGTTTGTGTACTGTCAAATTTCATTTTTTTTAATCGAGACTCTATTGTGTATGTTTCTGAAATTCAATTTGATGGTTTTGACACAATTAATATGATTACTTTTGGGAAAAATAGGCGATGAAATTTTCAAAACTAATTGCAAAAATTATCACAATTGGTCCATTTCATCCATTTTTATTAGTTTGGTTAATGGGAAAGTTGTTTCTTCCAATTGGATTGTTGAACTTAAAATTTATTGCAATTGGTTGTTTTTTCCATTGTTTTTTTAATATATATAAACTGCCATGAGAAAAAAACTCCGCACAGTGCGGAGAGTTGGAGACTATCTCTTCGCATTGTGTGGAGCCATCTCTCCGCATAGTGCTGAGCCATCTCTCCGCACAGTGCGGAGAGTTGGAGAACTCTCCGCACAGTGTGGTGTGCACTCTCCACACTATACGGAGAGTTCTCCGCACGATGCGGTATGCACTCTCCACACTGTGCGGAGAGTTGGAGATGCGGAGAGTTCTTCGACTCTCTGCACTCTCCGCACGGTGCGGAGTGCACTCTTCGCACAGTGTGAACTCCGCACCGTGTGGAGAGTTGGAGAGAACTCTCCGCACTCTTCGCACGATGCGGAGTTTTAGGACGATGCGGAGTGCAATCTTCGCACCGTGCGGAAAGTTCTCTCTAACTCTTCGCACTGTGCGGAGAGATTTTCTTTTTTTTTTTCTCCACTCTCTCTCGCTTTCCCTACTTTTCTCCATTTTTAGGTAATATCTATTTTTTCTTACTTCTTCAACATAGTATATATAAACAGTCATGAGTACAAAAAAAAAACTCTCCGCACTGTACGGAGTGTCCTCACACACTTTACACCTTCACAATTTTTTTTTTATAGTAATTAGACTAAATACATTAATTATTATTAATGATTTTTCAAAAAAATTCTATAGATAACAATTTCAAAGAAGGGGATATTGATAATGCCATGACATTGCTTTCACAAATGGAGGCTCTAGAAAAAATATCACCCAAATTCAATATCTTACACTTGCTTGACAATAGCTCTTCGAAGTATTGGCAGACATTATTTTCAATGAAATTATACTTTCAGGTTGTAGCCAGGAATTAAATTGTCAAAAAATTGCTCAAAAGTTGTTTAGAAAAGGCTCTTACAACTTGCAGATAAAATCTAGAGATTATTATATGATTTGGATTTGGTAAGGAATCACAAAACATTAATACTTATTGAATATTATGTTCACAGGAATAAGGTAAAAGATACTTTGTTAGTTATTTATCAGATGAAGAAGAAAGAGTACCAGCTAGATTCTTTTGTGTATAATAAGATTATTAAAGTTTATAAAGACAATGGGAAGTGGAAGAAAACAA